CATCCAAGGAGTGGCTGTCCAATGGGGAATCCAGGCAAGAGATTCATCCAAGAGGTACCTTGACAAGGGGTTCCATCCAAAGGGGCAGACCAAGAGGAAGGTCTGTCCTAGCAGCATTCATCCAAAGGAGCACATGCAAAGGGATCCATCCAACAGGGATCCATTCATGGGGTCCACCAAGGGGATTCATCTAAGGGGACCCATCCAAGGGGGTCCATCCTAGGAGTATTAATCCAAGAGGGTCCATCAAGGAGCTTCACCTAAGGGGGCTCATCCTCTTGGTGCCTGCAGGTATGGTCGATGGCTGAGGGCTGGCAGCGCCCCACCAACAGGACCGTGGATGGAGGCACCCACCGCCTGGAAACCCTCATCCCAAGCCCTGGAGCCCAGCTCTGTGTCCGGGTGGCAGCTTTCAATGGTGCAGGGCTGGGGGTCCCCAGCAACGCCACCTGCAACGCCATGGGTAGGAGATGGGGACAACGATGGGGTGCAGATGGGGACAACGATGGGGTGCAGATGGGGACCACGATGGGGTGCAGATGGGGACAACGATGGGGTGCAGATGGGGACAACGATGGGGTGCAGATGGGGACCACGATGGGGTGAAGGCAGGGATGAAGGTGGCAGCACAGTGGTGACACTGTTGGCACATTGCAGGGCTGGCAGCAGGGAGCACTGGGCTGGTCCGGGTGCTGCGGCAGCCCGTTGTCATCGCTGCCACCGGCTCGCTGCTCTGGTTGGCTTTACTCGTCCTCCTCCTGCTCCTGTGCCAGCGCCGCGCCAGCCGGGACGCTGCCATGCGCCGCAGGTGACCCACGGTGGGGTGAGGGATATGGGGGGCTTCATATGGGGGGGATGACATCCTGTGACACCCCTCGCCCTGCAGGCTGGTGGCTGCAGACACGCCGTGGCTTGGTGGCCCCTGGAAACCTGGCTGTACCCCACAGAACCGCAGCAGCAGCAGCAGCCTCCTGGGCAGTGACGGCAGGGACCCATCCAGTGAGCCCCATGGGTGCAGGGACCCCTCCAGTGAGCCCCATGGGTGCAGGGACCCCTCCAGTGAGCCCCATGGGTGCAGGAACCCCAACCTATTGCCATGGGACCCCCACCCATTCCAGTGTGCCCTCCGTATGATGCTATGGGAACCCACATGGGACCACCCAATTCCATGGGATCCCCACCTAGAGCAATGGAACCCCAACTCAATGCCATGGGCCACCCCCCCCCATCCAGTGCCTGGCCCTCACAGAGTGCCCAACACCCCCCTGGGTGCTCCCAGTTGCCCCTCTGCATGCAGCAAGGCCCTGGGGATAAACAGAGCCAAAGAGGAAGGGGCCAGGGGACACCTGACTCAGCACCCATGGGTGCCCTGACCTCTTTCATCCCTCAGCCCTGTCCTTGGAGCCATCAAGCCTCGCCCCCCCCACACCCTCCAACCACAGCAGTGCCTGCGGGGGGCACCCTCCACCCCCTGGGGACACGGGGTGCTGCAGGGTGGGACACCCGGGGGTGCGCACATCACCCAGCACCCCGAACCCAGCGCCCTTGGAGCGGCTCCGCAAGAGAGGTGGGTGCTGGGGGGCACTGGGGGGGGGCATGAGGGACAGTGGGAGGTGGCTCATGGCTCTGTGTGTTCCCATGTCCCCCATGAAGAGCTGCAGCAGGTGCACAGCACCCCGCTGCTCACCGGTAGCCCCAGGCATGGCCCCATCCATGGAAGCAGAGGCGAGTGGGGGCCGGAGCTGGGGCTGGAATGGCTTCAGCGAAGGGGACACGATGGTGACATGGGGGCCGAAGGGGACCAGCGGCAGCTCCCGGTCTTCAGCACCCCAAAACCACGTCGGGGCAGCGCCTCCCTGGCCTCCGGTGACACAAGGTCCCCAGTGCCACCACCCCAGGGCCGGCACCCACCGGTGACACGGTGAGTGCCGCTGTCTCCACCGTGGGCCACTCCATCCACCCCAGCCCCCTGCTGCAAAAGCCACCATTGTCCTTTGTACCGGCAGGTCCCCAGTGACCGCGTACCCCAGGGATACATCCCCAGTGACCCGGTGCCCCAGGGACATGCCCCCGGTCACTGGGAGCCCCAGGGATGTGTCACCAGCCACCAGGCACCCCAAGGACCCGTCATCAGCCTCCAGCCAGCCTGAGGACATGGCACCAGCCACTGAGCACTCAAGGGGCTCATCCCCAGCCACAAGGCTCCCAAAAGAGAAGTCTGTGGCCATTGGGCACCGTAGGGACAAGTTCCTGGCCACCAGGTACCCCAGGGACAGGTCTCTGGTCACCAGGCACCCGTCACTGGTGAGCAGGCACCCAAGACACATGTTCCTGATACCCAGGTACCCTGAGGACACACCACCAGCGGTGAGGCATCCCAAGGACAAAACCCCAGCCTCCGGGAGCACAAGGGACACGTCCCCTGTCACCAGGTACCACAAGGACATGTCCCCAGCCACCAGGCGCCCCAGGGATCCATCACTGGTGAGCAGGCATCCAAGGGACACATTTCTGGACAGCAGATACCCAAAGAACATGTCACCAGCCATGAAGCATCCCAAGGACACATCTGCAGCCACAAGGAACCCAAGAGACACATCGCCAGCCACCAGGAACCCTGAGGAGAGGTCTCCAGTCCCTGGTCACCAGAGGGACATGTTTTTGGGCACCAGGTACCCCAATGACACGTCCCCACCCACCCCAGGGACCCCTCACTGGTGACCAGGCACCCAAGGGATGTGTTCCTGGCCACCAGGTACCCCAAAGACACATCCCCAGCTACCAAGCACTCAAGGGACGTGTCCCCAGTCACCCGTCACCTCTCACCAGCACTCAGCAATGGGCTCTTCACACAGCAGCGGGTGGCCAAGGACCTGGAGATGGACCAGGACACCAACTGCCCCAGGTACCTCCCATCCCCTGGGATGCCCCTGTCCCCTGGGATCCTCTGTGTGTCCCCATGTCCCCTGTAAAGAGCAAGTGCACAGCACCCCACTGCTCACCAGTGGCCCTGGACATGTCCCCATCCATGGAGATGACCCTGGCACACCCTCATGGTGGCAGCACCCATGGTCCTCACTGTGTCCCCTGCAGCCCTGCAGCAGCCACCGCGCCACGGTCCATCTCTCCATTGCACACCTATGGCTACATCTATGGGCCACCGGCCTCCGAGCTGGGCGAGGAGGAGGATGAGGAGGAGGATGAAGAGCAATCAGCAGCGAGGGGCTCCCCGGTGGGATCACTGCTGAATGGGTGGGGGTCTGTCTCAGAGGACAACTTCACCAGCGCCCGCTGCAGCTTGGTGAGCTCCTGCGATGGCTCCTTCCTCCTGGATGCCAGCTTCGCCCGAGCGCTGGCCGTGGCTGTCGATGGCCTCTGCTTTGGCCTTGAGGACACCGATGGGACCTACAGAGGTGAGGAAGGGTCCGCAGACCCCCGCTCTGTCCCCCAGCATCATCACCCCTTCAGGAAGGTGGCCCCATCATGACAGCACAGTGACGCCACCATCTCCATAGCAGGTCCCTCACCGCCACCATCACCCTTGGAGAGGATCTTCACACCCGGGGTCCCCATCCCACCCTGGGACTGGGGGACAGTGATGGGAATCCCACGGAGAATAGGGATGGAGGCAGCTGCTGACACCCTGCAGTATGGTGAGTGCTGCCCCAAGTCCTGGTGATGGGTACCAGGAGTGGTGCTGGTGTCACCCATTGCAGGGTGCTGGATGATGCCCCCGTTTGCTTTGCAGGTGGCCATGGGTCGAGCAGTGGCAGCCCCTGGTCCAGGGTGGGCGGTGAGATGGGGACAGGAGGGACAGGAGCGTGGAGGTCCCCAGGGTGCAGGAGTCGCCTCGGCTCGTCCAAAATCCAGCTTTATTAAGTGGTGCCCCAAAAAGGAGCTCTTTGCAGCAAAAGCCACCCACAGAGGCGGGTGGCACTAAGGTGGGGGTGACCCTCCTTCTCCAGCATCCTTGTCCTTCCCCAGTGTCCCCATCCCTCCCTAAATTCCCCATCCCTCTCCAGCATTCTTATCCCTCCCCACCATCCTCACCCTCCCTAAATGTCCTCACCCTTCCTCAGTGTCCTCCTCCATCCTCAGCTTCCTTGTTCCCCCAACCATCCTCAGCATCCTTGTTCCCCCAACCATCCTTGTCCACCCCAAGTGTCCTTGTCCTTCTCCATGGTCACTGTCCCCTCAACCATCCTTATCCACACTGACTGTTCTCATTCCTCCTGACTCTCCTCATCCTTCCTCATCATCCTTGTCCCTCCTCAACCATCCTTGCCCCTCTCAAGTGTCCTCATCCCTCCCAGGCCACCTTGTCCTTCCGGAACAACCTTGTGCCCCTTTCAAGTGTCCTCATCGCCAGGCATCTTATCCCTCTAGAGCATCCTCATCCTTCCCCAACCATCCTCACCCTCCCCACAAGTCTCCTCATTCCTCCCACCATCCTTGTCCCACTGTGACCATCCTCCTTATCTCTCCCTCATGTCCTTGTCCCTCCCAAGCAACCTTGTCTGTCCTAAGTGTCCTCTTTCCTCCAGAGATCCTCAAGCCCTGAGCACCTTTGTCTTTACCCAGTGTCCTTATCCCCACAAGCATCCTTGTCCCCAGCCTTCTTAGTCACTCCCAAGCACCCTCATCCCTCTGCAGCATCCTTGTACCGCCACATATGCTCATCCCTCCAGCTGTCCTCTTCCCATCCCACCATCCTTATCCCTCCAACTACCCTTGTCTCTCCTCAGGGTCCTCATCCCTCCCAATTGTCTTTGTTCCCAAGGTCTTCATCCATCCCTGAAGATCCTCATCATCCCTCCCTAGCATCGTTGTCCATCCTGACTGTCCTTGTCCCACCCAAATGTCCTTGTCCCCACCTTACGCTGCCACCCACCAGCTGCTGGCTCTGTGCAACCCTATTTACATGGTGCCACCCAAATTAAAGACCATCCCCCCCAACCCCAGATGTCCCCATCCCTGTGCCCCCAACCCTCGCCCTCCACTTCATCTCTTCTCCTGTGCTGGGCAGGGAAAGGGGGGACCTGGCCGGTGGCGGTGGCCGATCCCTTCCCCGCGGTCCCCTGGTGTCCTGCTGCGCCCCGAGCCATGGCCACGGGAGCTGGTGGAGCCACGGGATGAGACACTGCCCGTGGTGGAGCAGGAGGGTTTGCTGTAGGGGACAACCTCATCTGCAAGGGAGGGAACAAGGTTAGGGTTTGGTGGTGGCATCCCATAACCTCTTGGGGACATGGTTGGTGGCTCTGGCTTACCACGATGGGTGACCTTGCGCTCAGCCCCGCTCAGCTCCCTCTCTACTGAAGGCCTGGGGGTCTCACCTGGTGGTGGCACTGGTGGTGGCGGCAGGTCTGTAGTGGAGAGCAAGGAAAGGGCTGATCCTCCCCTTTTCCCTTTGGAGCATCCCAGTTTTTCCCCTTCCTCTCACCTCCCTGCGGCTTTTCCCGGCGGTAGCGGCTGCATTTGGGCTTCAGGTGACGTTTTGGGGTGTCCCTGCGGGTTCTCCCTGGGGGTGACACAGGTTCAGCCCCACCACAGCTGGTGGGATCCAAACCCACCCATCATATCCCCTCAAGGGCTCACCAGTGCTGGGGGGGCAGCGGGCACGGGGTAGGGGGACATCACCCATGTCTGGACTCGGCAGGGGGCTGGGTGCTGGTGGTGGGGTCATGGTGCCATGGGGGGGTCTCCTGGCAAAGAAGGTGTGGGATGAAGCCAACAAAAGGAGCTTGGTGGCCACCGTGGTGCTGGTGCAACCAACCCAGTGCTGTGCTGTGCCGGAGCCAAGGAACACATGCTGTGATAGGAAAGCTGGATGGCAATGGCATGGGTGGGCCTCAAGCATCACAGCTGGATGGCAGGGCCACAGGTGGATTGCAGCTTCACAACAACGGTTGCAATGGTAGGGCTGGCTCACAATGGCACACCCGAGGCACAGCTGGATTGCAACCACACATCTGGATTGCGACCGCATAGCTGGGTAGCAGTTGCACAGCTGGATTGCAACCACACAGGTGGGTTGGAATAGCACCACTGGACCATGGTAGAGCTAGGCCATGACATCACAGCTGGATGGCAACGTCCCAGCTCGCTCGTTAGGGTGCCCATCACAGCTGCACATCTGGATTGCTAGGCCACAACCATCCCACAGCATCATGGGTGGATGATGGCAGCATGGTCAGAGCACAAATGGACAGCAGGAATGGATGGTGACAACATGGATGGATCAAGAGGGAACATCCGGATTGTGGTGGGACATCCAGACCCCAATGGAACACCTGGACCCCAGGGGCATGCAGGGCCAGACAGTGACAATATGGCTGGATTATGACAGGACATCTCAGCCATGGTAGGATATTTGGACCGTAGTGGGACACCTGTGCCCCTGTGAGACATCTGGACCTCAATGACATGGTCAGACCATGGTGGCACAGCAGGGCGGGATGGTGACAACATGTCTGGATTGTGGTGGGACACCCAGAGCATAGTGGGACATCCAGACCCTGATGGAAGACCTGGACTAAGTGAGACCTATCTCCTACCGGGGGCTGTCGATGTCTCGGAGGCGGGGGATGTCCTCAGTGGCCCGGGGCGATGGTGTCAGGGTGGCAGTGGACCGGCAGCCGGAGGACGCGGTGGGTGAGGATGCGGCGGTGGCACAGGTGACATCCTCAGCACCGTACCACCCCTCCATCCGCAGCCTGTGGAGTGGGGACACACAGTGGGTGCAGGGGCCAGCATGTCCTGTCCCCATCTAGGTCTCCACACTGACCTTCCAGATGCTTCTTCATCCTCATCCTCCTCCTCCTGGGCGCAGTGGCTGAGCTCACTGGCCGAGGGGAGTGGTGGCAGCAGCTCTGCCCAGCTTATGGCCGGTGGCTTCACTGCTTGCCCCAGCTTCTTCCCTTTGGTCCCTGTAGTGAGGAAGGATGCTGGGGGGGGCTGTGGGGAGGGGGCAGTGCCACCAGCACCCATGTGTCCCCCCACCCATCCCACCACCCTACTGCGGGGAGCCTGCGGGGCTGGGACATCCATCGGTTGGGGGTAGGAGGTCCCATGGTGGGAGAAGGGACGAGGGAAAGTGTGGAGCTCCTCATCGCTGGCCTCAATGGTGCTGTAGACTGGCCCCTCGGTGGGCCCAATCCCAAATTGCTCTGTCTGGGTGATGTAACGGGTGATACCAGCATCTATGGAGGACAGACAGCACCATCAGCATCCCTGCCCTTGGCAATGGGTAGGAACGAGGTGAACATTCCAGCCTTGGTCCTTTCTGGATGATCTCTCCATCTAGATGGCCCTTTCCAACCCACACCACTCCACGATTCTATGATCATGGTTAACCATGACCTTCCCACCCCAAGCCACCCATCCCCATGGTGACCTCTCACCATTATAGTATCTCTCATTGGTCCTCAAGCAACTGTTGCTGCCACCACTCCATGTGTCTGCCAGCCATGGATAACCACCACCTGTGGCTGCCCTGTGAGGAGATGGGATGAAAGGATGCACTGGGAATCTTGAGAACAGGGTGGGAATACCAGGAAGGTTACCTGTGTGCTGGAGCCTGGAAGGTGACTGCGGGAAGAGGTTGGGATGAGGATGGCTGAGGACCACGCCGGGTCCCCATGGGCTTCCCATTGGGTGCGTAGGCAAAGGATGCTGCAAGGAGAGAGGCGGATGATGCTGTTGGGGTAGTAAATGGTGAGGGGGGGGTCCCAAGGGTGACACCCCTTTGTACCCGTGAAGTGGCTGAGCTCCTTCTTCCTCCGGCGGCGGCTGTAGAGCCACGCGGTGACGGCAGCCAGGATGAGCCAACACGTGCCACCAACACCAGCGATGAACACCGGCTGACGGGCCACCGCGGCCAAGCGCCCGGCCATGCTGCTCCCGCCTGCCATTCCCTTGTCCCGCTGCACCGGGAGTGCTGCAGAAACATGGGACACAGTGGTGGGAGCTCTGAGGAGGGACCGCAGCCACCCAGAACCCATGGGTGCAATGAGGAACTCACCGACACGGATGGGGATGGGGACACTGCGGGCGCCCACCCCAGCACTGGTGGTGGCAGCGACCTCAGCGTGGTACAGGACACCGGGGACCAGGCCCTGCAGCATGGCCACCAGCACTGAGCCCTCCACGCTCTGGTTGATGTGGAAGCGGCTCTCGTTGGCCAAGCACCAGATCTGGGGGGAGAAGGTGGTGAGGAGCCATGGGGATGTCGTGAGGAGGTGACAGGAGGGGATAGAGGGTACCTATTGCACCCCATCACCCTTCACATCTCACCCCACAATCACATCCCACATCCCATCACACCCCACCACCACCCCTTACCCTGTAGTCCCGGATGACCCCGTTCTGCTCTGCCAGCGGTGGTGGCTGCCATGAGATGCGGACGCTGGTGCCATTACCCGTCACAGTGACACCTTGTGGCGGGGCACTGGGTGCTGCGGGGTGTCACAGGTGGGGTGTCACCCCCAGGGTGTCCCTATGGGTCCCACCACCCCATCCATCCACTCTCACCTGCCTCAGGGGTGCTCAGGGCTCGCACTGCACTGTCCGGCCCATGGAGGTGGTGGAAGAAGGGCTGGACCTTGACCTCGTAGTGCTGCCCACGGCGCAGGTCAGTGAGCAGCACCCCGCGGTCCCCCGGTGCCAGCAGCACCCGTGCATCCTCCCAGCGCCCACCACGGCGCCGCAGCAGCACCCGGTACCCCTGCAGGAAGGGTGTCTGGTGCTGCACCTGAGGAGCAATGGGAGCGGATGGGTGCTGGGTGCTGGCACTGGGAGCTCTGCGCTGGTGGTGTGGGGCAGCACTCACAGTCCAGGAGAGGCGGACGGCGCCCGGGGGAAGCACCTCTGGCTCCTGGAGGTGCACAACCACTCGTGCCAGGTCCTGCTGCACCTTCTCGGGGTCCGGCCCGGGCTGCGGGGTGCTGGCGTCTGCCCAAAACATGACAGCGAGAGGGGACATGGGCACCTTGGTGTGGGTGTTGTGGTGCCACTGTATTCCCATGGTGAGTCAGGAAACTCTGTTGGTAGCATTGGGTGGGGATGCACACAAAGGTTTTGGTTGTGTGGGTACCTCCATTAGTAGCACTAACAAAGGATGCACACAAGGGTGCTGGGTGCATGGGCACCTCTGTCAACATCACTAAGCAGAGATGAACCCAAGGGTGATGGGTTCATGGGCATCTCCATTATTATCACCAAGTGGAGATGCACCGAACAGTGGTGGGTTCATGCCACCTCCATCAGTATCAACAACTGAGAATGCACCCAAAGACAGCGGTCACCTCCATCAGTATTACCAAGTGGACATGCACCCATGGACATCACCAGCCTCACCACCAGATCTCACCTTGGGTGCACACTGGCTCCGAGGCGCCGCTGGGGTCACTGATCCCATGAGCATTGACCGCCCGCACCAGGAAGATGTAGATGGTGTTGGGGACGAGGCCACTCACGGTGTGGGTCTCACCCGCCACCTCAGCTGCCACCGTGCGCCACGGGCCACCCTCCTCCTGGCTGCATGGACAGAGGGAACCATGGTGGGGTGGCTCTGGGCCACCACATCCCCATGCACCCGGAGGGGATGCTCATGCGGTACCTGAAAGCCTCCACTATGTAGGAGGTGACACCAGTGGCAGCGCTGTCCTCATTCCCTCTCCAGCTGAGGGTGACGCTGCTCTTGGTGACGTTGGTGACCACAGGGGTGGAGGGTGGCCCAGGGAGGACCCCAGGCACAGAGGAAGTTGGGGTCAGGTCGGGCCTGGCACCTGTGGGGAGGTGCATGGAGATGTGGGGTGGCTTCATCCCCAGTGCCACAGTGTCCCCAGTGATGTCCCCATGACCCACCGTGCACCTCCAGCGTAATGCCCCAGTGTGCGTCACCCGCCGGGCTGGTGGCCACGCACTCGTAGTGCCCCGAGTCCATCACCTGCGAGGGGAGAGCTCCTGCCCCACCACCCTGAGCACCCATCGCCTGGCACCCATCACCCTGAGCACCTATTGTGCACTGCAGCGTCTACCACCCTTTGCACCTACCACCCCTTGCAACCAGCACCCTGAGCACCCATTTCCCTTTGCACCCACCAGCCCTGAGCATCCACCACACATTGCACCCACCCACTTGAGCACCCATCTCCTTTTGTACCCATCACCCTTTGCCCCCACCACCCTGAGCACCCACTAAACCTTGGAACCCACCAATCTGAGCCCCACCAACCCTGAGCACCCATTTCTATTTGCACCCAACACCCTGAGCACCCATTGTCCCTTGCAGCTACAACCCTTTGCATCCACCCCTGACCACCCACCACCCTGCACACCCACTGCCCCTGGTACCCATCTCCCTGAGCACCCTTTGCCCCATCCCGCCCTGTGGCTACTGCACTGGCTCACCCGGAGGCCGGTGATCCGCAGGGAGCCGTTCTCCTGCAGGCTGGCACGGGGCTCAGCACCCAACAGGACATTCCCATCCTTCAGCCACCCCACGTTGGCCACAGGGTCGTCACCACCCCACACTGGGCATGGCAACCGTGCTGTGGCTCCCGCTGGCAGCACTGTGTGGTTTGTGGGACCCCACTGGATCACCGGTGCTGCAGGGGAAAGGCCGGGAATACCGGGAATGGCGCGGTGATGGGTGGTGCGGTGGTGGATGCTGGATGTCCCCATTGTCTGCTGCGGTGGGACTCACCTTCTTCCACTTCCAAGCGTGCCTTGGCCAGGATGCTGCCAGCCACGCTGATGGCCTGGCACAGGTAATTCCCGGAGTCGGAACGCTGTATGTCTGAGATGGTCATGGAACCACCAGGACTCACAGCAAAGCGGCCGCTGGGATGCGGGGACTGTCCAGGGAACAGCAGGGTCTGGGGATGGAGGGTGCCGAGCTGGGATCTCCATCTCACCACACATCCCCATTGCACCCTGGGGACAGGGACGGGGACAGGGACAGGGACAGACCTGGCTGCCCTCCTTCTGCCAGAACACAGCGGGCGGGGGGTTGCCCCGGCTCTGGCACTGGAAGGTGACGCTGTGGCCAAGGGGGACTATCTGGTCACTGGGCCCGGTGACAAGCTGAGGGGGCACTGTGGGTGTGAGGACACACAAGGGCTTGGGCACTGCTCAGCCAGCACCCATGGGTGCTCCCCGAGGGACCCCCCTTACCATGCACCATGAGGGTGCCCGAGGCCTCGGAGCGCCCCACACTGTTGTCAGCCACGCAGGTGTAGGTGCCCTCATCCTCCGGGCGCAGCCGCACGATCCGCAGGGTGTTGTCGGGAAGCACTTCCCACCTGGAAGCGTTGTGAGGGTGTGGGGTGCTGTGGGGATGTGGGGTGAGATGGGGATGTGGGATGCAGTAGGGATGCAGGATGTGTTGAGGATGGAGGACACCACAGGGACATGTGATGCTACGGGGATACTTGATGCCATTGTGATGCCATTGGGATGGTGACACTCACCTCCCTGGTGGCATCTCGCCCTCCTCCTTGTGCCACCGTGCAGAGGGCTGCGGATCCCCCACTGCCTCGCAGGGGAACTCCACCGTCCCCTCCACCAGCACCGCCTGGTTCAGGGGTCTCCGGCCGAACCCCGGGCGCTCTGTAGGGCCATCATCAGCTCCATGGGATGCCCCCCCCCGGGGACACCCCGGAGCTGCCACCCCCCGTCCCCACGCACCAAGGACCACCAGCTCGGCCGGCTCGCTGTCCTTCTCCCCCACCACATTGGTGGCCACGCAGATGTAGACGCCGGCGTCGCTCTTGCGGGTGTTGGCCAACATCAGCTTCCCACCGCGGAGCTACGGGCAGCCCAACCCAACCGGGGTGGGTTGGGATGGGATGGGGTGGGGTTGGGGTGGGATGGGATGGGATCAACCCCCCTTGTCCCTCACCGTCAGGCGCTCATCCGTGGCACTCAGCCGGGCTCCGTTTTTCTTCCAGGAGACGCTGGGCTCGGGGTGCCCACGGGGTGGGACACACTCCAGCACGGCCGGTTCTCCCGCTGCCACCACCACATCCCCAGGGGGCTGCCGGAACTCATCCCTCAACACTGCGGGATCAGCCCTGCCTCAGTTTCCCCACTGCATGGGGCTTTGCATGGGGCAGAACCCCCGCATTGAGCCTTGGCCCCCCGAAGTCCTGGGGACTGAGACACACTGAGGTGCCACCAGGGACCCTGGTCAGTGGGTGTCAGAGGTTTTCACTCCTTTGCAATCAGTTCTTGGCTATTTTCAGTTGTTTTCACCTTTTTCTTGCAATTTCTTTTCCATTATTTTCCTTTCCCTTCACTCATTGCCATTTCCAATCATATATTTCCTCCCCTTTTCCCAGCTTTCAGTTCTACCCATGGTTTTCCACTTGTTTTCAGTGCTTTTTCATATATTTTCACCTATTTACATTGATTTTTTCAATTAGTTTTATATATTTTTCACTTTTTCCTTTCATTTCCCTTTACTTTTCACTTCTTTCCAATTATTTCCATGGATTTTTACTTATCTTCGTTTATTATTTTCACTTCTTTCCAATTATTTTTGCTTCATTTTATTTCCCATTGTTTTCACTTCTTTTCCTTTCCTTTAACTACTTTGCTTTCATTTCTTTTCACTCATTTTCATTTATTTTCACCTATTTCCAATTATTTCCAGTTATTTTTTCTTCTTTACATTTGTTTCCAATTATTGTCACTTTTTACCCCCACTTATTTTCACTTCTTTGCACTCATTGTCACTTATTTATAATTGGGTTTACTTATTTTCTCTAATTTTCTATTATTTTATCTTCATTTTTTTCCCCTTATTTTTCACTTCTTTACCCTCAGCAAAGTCTGGGCTCCTGCAGCCCCTCAGCCCCACAACCTGGGCTCAATGGTGACCCCAAATCTCCCCAGACCCCTAAATCCACCCCATTCATGTCCCACTCAGTCCTAGCCCATCCCTCTGCCCCAATCCCATTGCATGGCTGTCTCTGACCTGACCCTATCCCATCTCTGTCTCCAATCCCATCCCATCCATGGCTGTCTCTGATCTGACCTCATACCATCCCATCTTTGTCTCCAATCCCATCCTGTCCGTGGCTGTCTCTGATTTGACCCCATCCCATCCCATCTCTGTCTCCAATCCCACCCCATCTCATGGCTGTCTCTGATCTGACCCCATCCCATCCATGGCTGTCTCTGATCTGACCCCATCCCATCTCTGTCTCCAAACCCATCCCATCTCATGGCTGTATCTGATTTGATCCCATCCCATCTCTGTCTCCAATCCCACCCCATCCGTGGCTGTATCCGATCTGACCCCATCCCATCTCTGTCTCCAAACCCATCCCATCTCATGACTGTATCTGATCTGATCCCATCCCATCCCATCTCATGGCTGTCTCTGATCTGACCCCATCCCATCTCTGTCTCCAATCCCATCCCATCTCATGGCTGTCTCTGATCTGACCCCATCCCATCTCTGTCTCCAATCCCACCCCATCCGTGGCTGTCTCTGATCTGACCCCATCCCACCCCATCCCATGGCTCTCCCCTCCGCACGCAGCAGCTCTGCGGGCACTGACCGGCCACATGCAGCGAGGCGTTCCTGCTGGTCGCCTGCCCCAGGTGGTTCCTGGCCACGCACACGTAGACGCCCTCATCGTGCCTCCCTCGCCGGCCGTGCAGGACCCGCAGGAAGAACAGGGACCCCCCGGGCAGCAGCGAGCGATGGGAGCGCGGCTCCTCCCGGTCCGTCTCCACTCGCTCCCCGTCCTTGTACCACTCCACGGCGGGCGGCGGGCGGCCCTCGGCCTTGCAGCTCAGCGTGGCCGGGTCCCCCCGTGACACCAGCACGTCCGTGGGGTGCTCCACGATGCGGGGAGCCGCGTCCTCCAGCTGCGGGTGCGACCCTGTGCGGCACACGGGGAACCAGGTCTCAGCCTGTTGTATTGCCCCCCAGCCCAGCCCACGGTGGGGGTGGCAGCAGGATCGGGCTGGTGTCAGACCTCAGACATATGAAGAGGGATGAGGACAGGGGGACAAAGCTGCTCCGCTCACAGTAACCCCCCTTTTCCACCCAGATTCCAACAGGGTATCCCAGGGAAAATAGATCTGAAGCTAAATTCCCCCCAGATGGTTTTTTTCCCCATCAACTGCAAGTGCTGATTTCCCAGAGTGGACCTAGGAACTCCTGGATGCTTCGGTTTAAGCCTCAAAATGCCCATATTGGGGCTGTGGGGCTGTGCCAGGCCAATTCCCACTGTTAGGACATGGGAATGATGGTGCACTCATTAATGCTGGGATAATTAATGCTGGGATAATTAATGCTGATTAATTAATGCCCCACTGGTGCTGCACTTCAAGCTGTGCTCATTCAGTGTCCTGCTGCCCACAATGCACGCAATACATGTGCATGCACACGCATGGAGCTTGCACGCACATATGTGCATGCACATGCCAGGACATGCATGCAGCCATGCACAGGCCCACAAGCATGCGTCAGCACATGTCAGCACACGTGTGTGCACTTACAGACACACTTGCACATGTGTGCATTCATACATGCACTTGCAGAGATGCATCCTACCTGTGCATACAAGCAGGGATGTGCATGCACTCACACACACACATACACACGTGTATTCACACAGGGCTGTGTATGCACACACAAGTGATGCTCGTGTGTGTACGTGTGTGCAAATGAGGACACGTGTTTCCACATGTGTTTGCACACGTATACACATGTGCACACTCAAGCACATCCACAAATGCATGCACACACACGTGTCCTCCCCATTTGCACATGCGTGCACACACATGAGCATCATGGCATCATGGGGGAGGGTGATTTGGGGCGCCTGGGGGGGTGCATTGACATGAGGCTGGGATGCGTTGCCATGGGGATGCAGGATGCTGCAGGTACCGGTACCCTGGGGGGCAACAGCGGGGGCCGGGGGGGGGCGCAGCTGGGCCCGGTGGCTAATTGGGGCAAGCGGGGGGTTAGGGAAGAGCCCTCCTGTGCTCAGGGGAGGGCTCCGGGTGGTTTGGGGACACCCAGAGCCAACCGCAGGGAAGATCAGGCTGAAAAAGGGGAGAAGCTCAAAAGTGACTTGAAATTCAGATGGATAGCCCATTCCCATACTTCGTCCGGGATTCAGGGACACGGGGCTGGTCTGGGACACAGGATGAGGCTGGAGACACAGGGTCTCTCTCCTGATTTGGGCACATGGAGATTGTTTGGAGGCACAGGGCTCGCTTGGGGGGCACTAGGGCTGGTTTAGGGACAAGGAGGCTCTCCCAGCTCAGGATCCAGGTATTGGACTGAGGACACAGGGACTCCCGGTTCAGAGTCTGAGGCTTGATGTGGGGACACGGGGGCAGTCTGGAGACATTGGGTCGCTCCTGGTTCGGGAGCACGAAGTTGCTCCGGGGACACCGGGACAATTTGGGAGCACCAGGTCAGTTCCAGTTCACGATCGGGGGGTCGGTGTAGGGACACGGGGTCGCTCCCGATTTGGGGACACCGCGCTGGTACCAGTTCGGGATCTGCGGGACTGTCTGGGGACACGGCATCACTCCCGGTTGGTCGGGGGAAACGGAGCCGGTCCCGGGGCGGGGACACGAGCACAGTTTGGACACTCCGGGTCAGTCCCGGTCTGGGGACACGGGGCAAGCCCCAGTAAGGGACCTGGCTGGGGCTGGGGGGTGCGAATCCGGACTGGGGACAGCGGGACACGGGGACAGCGAACACAGGGCCACGTACCGTTGTCGGGGTCGAGCCCGGGGAGGTGCAGCTCGGCGATGGTGCGGTTGATGCCGAGCAGGAGCTCCGAGGAGTTGGAGCCCTCGATTCCCAGCGAGTCCGCAAACAGGTTCATCTGCAGCAGCGTCTTCAGCAGGTACCGCAGCATCCTCGGCTCGGCAAGGTCCGACCCGGCTCAGTTTGGTTCAGCTCTGCTTAGCTCAGCTCTGCACAACTCAGTGCGGTTCGGCACGGCTGAGCTCGGCTCGGCTCAGCACCCTTCGACCCGGCGCTGCTGAGCTTGGCTTAGCCCAGCCGGTCTCAGCTCAGCCTGGCACAGCCCAGCTGGAATGAGCACAGCTCGGGACAGCGAAGCGCAGCTCAGCTCAGTTCTTAGCTCAGCCTCGCTCGGCTCAGTTCTGCCCAGTCCAACCCAGCTCAGCCCAGCCCTGCCCGGTCCAGCCCGGTTCGGTTCAGCCCAGCTCAGTTCAGTCCAACCCAGCTCAGCCCAGCCCTGCCCGGTCCAGCCCGGTTCGGTTCAGCCCAGCCCAGCCCAGCCCAACCCAGCTCAGCTCAGCTCATCCCAGTTAAGCCCAGTTCAGCTCATCCCAGCTCAGCTCAATTCAACTCAGTTCAGTTCAGTTCAGCCCAGCCCAGCCCAGCCCAGCTGGGCTCATCCCGCAGCACCGCCTCCCGTGTCCGGCGGGGATGGGGGCGCGGCCAAAGGGTGCGGGGGGGTGCTGGGACCACCGAGAGCCTTGAACTTGGGAGGGGGGGGCGAACCCACAAGCGTGTGGTGCTGTTGAATTGGTAATTAGCAATTAGCCCCTTAATTAATGTGATGTGTGAAGCAATGCGGCTCCTCCAGCGAGCCCCCGAACATGGGAGGTCGTTATAGGGGGGTCGTTACGGTGGCACTAACGATCTCTTTGGAATAGGTGAAAGAGGAGAGGGGATGATGAGATGGGGGAAAAAAGGGTGTTGGGAGTGTGGGGAGCATAGGGGGGGTTGGGGAGGAATGGGAGAATGGGGGGCAAGGGAGGAACACGTCTGTGTGCACATCTGATAGGGAGAGCAGGAGAAGGGACCTCACATCTGGATGCAGAGCGGCAGGCGAACCCGGGTAGCACATATGGGGAGGAGGTGTGAATATGCCCCAAAGGGGTTTCACATCTGGAAAGCTCTAGGGACACATCTGGGGCACCGAGGGTTCCGATCTGAGACGGTTGGGTGGTTTGGGCAAACATCTGGGCACACAGCTGAAGAAAGGCACAGGGATGCCCGTGCACATCTGGGGAACGGGGTGATTTGCATCCGTGCACATCTGGACGTGCAAGTAGGAGGAAGGTGAGTGCACATCTGGAGAGCTCACACCAGCACACTTCCTCTTCAACCCAGAGCTGTGATGGGGCCACATCTGGACCCGTATGCACATCTGGGACCTCTCAGCCTCGCCAACACCCTCCGGGCTCTCCGTATCCCATCAAATCCACCCTATCCCGGCACTGTGAGACCCCCATTCCGGTGTCTCAGGGGCGATGCATTATTCATCCCTCCCTCCCGCAGCCCAGGCATGGAGAAAGTAAATATTAATTTCATAGGACCACAAAGCTTTTCCGTTCCTCCTGCTGGGAATGTGGCAGCCCAAGGATTTCCCGGTAGGATCAAAAGATGAGAAATAAATTATCCATAGAATAACAGGTTTAGCCAACTATTATCCAAATAATTCTCCAGGATGGGAGTTGAAGGTGATGTTGGAATATTAAATGCCGTGGTATTCCAAATCTCTTTTTGGGTGTTCCCAAAAAGCTGAGCCATGGGGATGGGGTATCTCTGGCTGGGAATAGTGCCTAGAAAGGGGATGTTAATCCTGCTTTGAGATTGTGGGCCTCTTTTCAAGGAGTTCTTTGAAGAGAGAGGGAGATTTTAATGGGAATCCTGGAGTTTTTTTGGGAAGCCCCAGGGATTAAAGTGTATTAATCCCGCTATGAGGCCCGAGGCTGCAGCGATGGGCTCCCCGGGGTGACATGCATACATCCATCACCTCCGAGATGGGTTTGGGATGGGGAATGAAGACAAAGGAGCCGCCTCATCCCGATGGATTATCCTCTGTCTTGGCTTCATCCCTGTTAATCAGCTGGGCAAACAGCGGCCGCCGGGGCAGCGCCTCCTCGTTAGCAGATTTATGAGCGCGTTTAATTGTGCTTTTATTCTACGATTAGCGGCTGTTTGCGCAGGCTTTGCCCAAACCAGTCCCAAATCACCCCAAAGTTGATTTGGAATTGGGAAAACAGGGGGTTGTTTCCCTGTTATCCTCATTATTCCTCCTTGTTTGCATTGCATCCTTCTTCATCCTCCCTTTTCCCATAGCTCCACAGGGCATTACCGGGATAGGGAAACTGAGGCACAGTAATGACGAGTGACAAGGGATTTGTCCGGGCAAATGAGGTGCTGGGGGGGAGGGGTGTGTGTGTGTGTTTAAATCCTTCACAGCCCCGTTATTAACATCCCCTCCGGGGCTCCCCCAACCCGGTTTGCTGGAAAATGAGGCTTTGGGAATATTTATGGAGGTTGGAGGGGGGGACATACACGGCGGGGGATAGGGGGGAAAGGGGTGGACAGGGAGGGAGAGGAGCAGCTGGGGGGGTGGTGGGGAGAGGAGTGGGGCTGGGTGAAGGTGGGGGTTTAATTATGTAGGGGATGGCACTAGGGGGAAATATGGGAATGTACTGGGATGATATGGGGGATGATACTGGGATGATAGGGGAACATACAGTGATGCTGTAGGGGAACATCCTGAGATACTGTTGGGGATTATACTGGGATGATGGAGGGGATGACACTGGGATGCTGTAGGGGAATGTACTGCGATGGTATAGGGGAACATACTGGGATGCTGGAGGGAATGACGATGGGAGGCTTTAGGGGATGACACTGGTCTCCTTTAGGGATAACGCTGGGATTTTTTAAGGAACGATGCTGGGAGGCTGTAGGGAATGATGCTGGGATGTTGTAGGGGATTACACTGGTATGCTATAGGGGATCACATTGAAATGTTTAAGGAGAAGATGGCTGGGATCCTTTATGGGATGATGCCAGGATGCACTAAGGGAAAATGCTGGGATGTTTTAGGGGAGCTCATTGGGATGCTGTAGTGGATGACGCTGGGATGCTTTAAGGAATGATGGAGGAATGCTTTAGGGGATGATGCTGGCATGCCCTAAAAGGAATGATGCTGGATATTTTCATGGAGCATCCAGGTGTGCTTTAGGGGATGCAGGTGGGATGCTTTAAGGAGAGATTCTGCGATATTTTAGGGGAGCTTATGGGGATGCTTTAGGAGATGGTACTGGGATGCTGTAGGGAAGCAAACTGGAATGCTTTAGTGGGTGTCATTGGGATGCCTTAGGATAGTTGTGCCAGAACACTTTAGGGGATGATGCTGGGATGCATGGAAGGGTGCTGGGTTGTATTAGGAATAGTGAGAGACTTCAGGAGAGGACACTGGGGTGTTTTAGGTGAGCTGGGATAGTCAGATGATAACAGTGGGATCTTTTAGGGCATGGTGCTGGGTCGCTTTAGGGGATAGTGCTTGGATGTATTAGGGGATGACACTGGAAAGCTTTAAGGGAGCATACTGAGAAGCTATAGGGGATGATGCTGAGATTATTTAGGGGACAATGCTGAGATGCTTTAGGGAAAAATGCTGGAATGCTTCCTAAAGCATCTCCTAGGATGATATGATGCTGGGATGCTTTAGGTGGTGACATTGGGATGCTTTAGGGACTGGGGCTGGGATACTGTAGGGGACAATGCCAGGACACCAGGGGCCGATGCTGGGATGTTTCAGGGCACGCACTGGCATGCTTTCAGGAATGACGCCGGGATGCTTTAGGTGAGCATCTGGAGCTGCTGCAGGGGATGACCTGGGGCAGCTCGGTGTGGGCTGCCCCAGAGGACGGGTGTCAGTCTGTCCTTCCTGCACGCCTGGCAGGCGCAGGAGGCCAGTGGGTTGGGGTCTCAGCCCGCCTCATTACTTCGGGAAAGCCGGAGCCCATGTGTTCTGGAGACGAGCGACTGGGGGTATATTAACATCCCATTCCCACCTCTTTAATACAGAGTTTGTGGAGATCATTTATCAGCCGGGGCTCCCTCCAGGGCAGGGGGAAGCCGGGCAGAGCTCGGCAGCTGGGGCACAGCGAGAGGCGAGGGATGCTCGTTCCCGAAGGAAGCCGATTCCCGGTTTAACAGGTAGTGGCTCATGTGCGAATCGCTAGTTTGGGACCGGCACATCATTGGGAAGAGCTCTATCAAAGCTGGGCTTAATTGGGTGGAAGGCTTGTTTGCATGGCCGCTAATGGGGGATCAGAGGGCCGGGGACCCAGCGCTGACGGCCCTACAAAGGCAAGCAATTACTTGCTTGTCTGCATTATGTATTAACCCATCTGGGGCCGGAATATTGCCTTTGAAAGGAAGACAAAGGCAGGGGCGTGATGCTCCAATTCACCCGCCTGAGTCCCTTTTGTGCGCTCCAGGGGCAGCTGGATACGGGATGCAGCCCCCGAGGATGCTGATGGGGACCAGCTCTCAGCATCCGCTCGATATCCCCCCAGACATCGCATCCAGCACCTTCCAGCCCTCACCGTGGTTTCCTGCCCGCAGCCGCATCGCGGGATAATCAGAGCATTGGCTTTAATGAGCCACCGTCGCAGTTAATAAGTTTATACTGCTTTCTGGCCGTGGTTTTTGACGATGGGAAGTTAATTATGGTCAAGTCAGGAAGCTACAGAAAACTCTCTGTATCCAACGGCATTCCCGCTTGGCTTTTGGGCTAGTTGTTAATTATCTTTATTGAGTTGGAAGGCTGGCTTGAAGAAGGAGGTGGGGGAGCAGTGGAGAGCAGTGGGGAGCAGGAGAAGAGGTTCACACAGCTGGACTAAGCTGCTTGTCCCGGCATTTCCATGTCCCTGGGGAGCTGAGGATGACCACAACTCATTGCAGGGATGAGCCCCTCTGAGAACAGCCACAACTCATCGCAGGGAGGCTGAGGACCGGCACAGCTCTCTACAGGAACGACTCTTGGAGGTGTTCGGTGGGCTGGGGACAGGGGGGCACCCACAGCCACCCCCCTTCCCCTCCCCTCCCCGCTGTGTCATTAGCCAGCGGTCAAATGGCCCTAATGGGGACGCGGGGCTGCATCGCAATCAGCTGCTCTGGAGG